TCGGGAGGGGACTTGATTTTTAGTTTTATTGTTTTTGCGCTTTCCGCTGTCTTTGTAATTTATTACATTTTTTTTTTTTTTGGTCTGAATTGTTTTTGGGACATGTCCAGCACTTGTAGACAGCGGCGGTTGTTTTCAAGTGCTCGGCAAAATACACTTTTGAGTTGCGGTGAAATGTTGTTAGCGATCCCTGACACGCAACACCTCTGCAATGGAAAAAAATACCTCGGCTGCAGTCAGAACCGGTTTTCCTTCCACCCGGTCTATTTGCAACGTATTGTACAGACCATTCGGGGCCGCGTCCTTTCACTGAAATAAAAACAAACAGTTCCTCGAGTGTGGCGGTGCATTGTCGTTGAAAAAGCAACGAGAATCACGCCGCGGTGGACGTGATTTGTCTGCGAATGAGTTGACGCCGGCCAACGGCCATGTCAAAGAATAAAAAACGTCAACACTCATCGAGCTCATGGACCGCGGTCGAGGTTCTGGCCGCACGTGTTTGAACCGCTGTTCGTCATGCCAAGCGATGAAACCATCGAATGGGTGCCACGTGCCATTTTGCAACTGCATATTTTTCATCGGCGCTTTTTTTTTTTGCGTCCGTGACAAATGATAACACATGTCTTTTGTCCTTCCGTTGCACCGACTGAAAACGGCAGGCGGAAACGTCATCTGCTCGACGACAGCCGACATCGTCTTACGATAAGGACGCGTTTGCATTTCGCGACACCAAGAGGATTTCTCCAGGCCCGAAAACCTCCGGAGCGCAAGCGTTCAAGCGTTTCCCCCAGCAAGTGTGCGTCCCACCGACTGGGTCTTCGCAAACTGAGAACTTCGTACACAGATGAAGAGATGTCACCGATCGGCCTCTCTTGGATCGAGATTCTCTCACTCTCTCCCCTTCAGCTCCCTTTCTCCGCCGCTCTTGCCTCCGCCCCCTTCAACCGACACGCTCTTCTCGTCCGGGCTCATCTCAGGCTCCCCTTTTTTCTTGACCGGACATATTTTCCAGACGGAAGGCTGCCCGAACCGCCTCTCTGCGCCCACCCTCACCCACCCACCCTCCTCCCCGAGCCCCAACGTCACACTTTCAGTCCACCGCCATGGTTGCTCGCTTCGAGATTGGAATTTGTTGAGTGTGCTTGGTCCTCAGTCACCACAGCCTCTAGGCCATTCGGAAACGGCGACCTGGTGAAAATGCATTGATTCATTTCACTCCTCACAAAAGGACAAAAACCCCCCCCGAGGAAAAAGCAGCCAATAAAGTGGTGGCCGCTCCCACAGAGGATTTGGAGCTGGAGCGACGGGGGTTGTTTGGGAACGTGGAACAAACATCCCTCTGTGAGTCGCTCTTGCTCCCCCCAACAAGCCCCTTTGACCCGAAAGGTTGACCTTTGGCCCCTGAGCCGCAGCAAGGCCACAGCTGCTCTGGGGAGGGGGAAGATGGAGATATATATGTATATACTGTATAAATGTATAAAAAAAAAGCTTGCCATTCGACTGCTTCCCATGTGAGAGCCGAGTTATTTACAAGCGCCGGATGACACTAGCCCGGGCCGATTTGAACAGAAGCGGGCGGAAGGACACGGACACGTACCGAGCACGGTGAGCGTGGCGTTGGCAGAAACGGTTCCCGCCGTGTTTTTGGCCGTGCAGCTGTACACGCCCATGTCGTCCGGCTTGACGTCCATGATGAAGAACACGTCGTCGTCGGGCATGACGTGCATCCGGCGCTCCCGGGCGGCGGGGAAATCCGTGCCGCCGTCCTTCTGCCAGGCAATCTGCGGCGCCGGGTGGCCCTCGGCGGCGCACTCCAGCCTGGCCGTGTGGCCCGTTCTGATGGTGCTGTCCCTGGGCGTCTTCACAAAAGACGGCAGCACTGCGGACAAAGCAGAGCCGGCGGCTGCCATCAAAATGGACGCCGGCGCAATCGTACTCGTGGATGCGAGATAGCAAACTGAAGGGGAATTCTGTCGTGAGAGCAAAGGCGGCAAAGCCGGCGCTGCCCGATACGTCGATCGCCCGAAGCGGTCTGCAATTGCATCTTGCCATCACAGCTGTTGCGATCGCTCTTTCACTCTGTTTTTTTTTTTTGTCTATTTTTCTCATTCAAAGTTTGTTTTGTGTACAATTGACCGATGGCACTAACAAAGAACGGGAATCTTGAGCGCCGGGAAAACCATTCCCAAAGCACGCATGTACAATCGTTTCTGCACCTCAGATGCCAGACCTGACGCAAAGTGTGTCCCGCGCCTTTGCGTCAGGTCTCGGCCAAGGTAGGTCGCGACTTCCTTTTCACAAACTATCGCGTCACATTGATTTTTCTCTTTCGTTCATGTTCGGGGCCATTATGGCTGTCGCTCATCATGGCATGCGTGTAGTTATGCCTGCACGTGCGGCAACAAGAGGTCGGTTGCTTGAAAAGTAGATCTTGGGTCAAAAACGCTTGGCCACCCCAGCGCAATAGAGAACGAGCTCCCGTCACGGACTCAAAATCAATTTGTGACGAGTGGCGAGAAAGAGATGACTTTTGTTTGAATCAAAGAGGGAAAACCCAGCAGGGCCACTCAACTCCGTTGCGCCTCTGTCACACGGAGCAATCGAAAAGCAGATAAGTGCAACGTCAACGGGCCTTTGATTTGGTGGAACATGGCCGCGATAACTTGGCAGCCATGTTTTTGCAAAAGGAAAAAAAAAAAAAAACATTTCCAAATGTCACCCCATTTTCTCGTGACCGACGGCCAACTGAACACGCGCGGGCGCTAATCGGAACCGTACCGTTGACAATGAGACGGGCCTTGCTGGAGTAGGTGGAGCCAAAGTGGTTGGTGATGACGCACTGGTAACGGCCCTCGTGCGCAAAGGTGACGTGGCGCAGGTGGAGGATGGTCGTGTACTCCGTCACGCCTGCGGCGGCGGCGCCTTGGGGCTGAGCGCGCACGTGGGCGTAGTTCTCCGTCTCGGCGCGTCCCAGCGGCTCCTGGTCCTTGCGCCACGCGAAGGTCACGGGGGACGAGCTGCTGCTGGCGGCCGTGCAGGTGAGTCGCACGTTGCTGCCGAGGACCGCCGCGCTGGTTTCCGGCTGGACGGTGATTTGGGGTTTGGGAAAGTCATCTAACGAGGAAGGAATGGGGGGGCCGCAGAGAAAACGGGGGCGGGGGCAGGAGACGCTTTGAATCGGCACAAAACCCACGCGGCGACTTTACAAATACAATCGAATGAGGTGAGGCAAAAATGTCACCGGCGCAGGTTCACATTTGACAAGGTGCGGCGACGTTTGCTTCATTTTGCTCCAATTTAGCAAAGGGCACACCGTTGAAGCGCAGCCATCTCGTTAACTCTGCGTCCCGCGTCCTAGACGCATCATTTTCCCGCCGGATGCACAGTTCCAAATAATGTGCGTTTTTGGGACACGCGGAAATTTCTCAGTCAATTAAAAAAAAAAAAGACGGTAAATCTTTTTTTCCAGCAGTTTGATGTTCAGCGCCATTGTTGTTTTGATTTCGCGTAATCTCGCGAGACGAAATTGGCGAGAAAGCAGACGATTGCCAAGTTGTGTAACGTTAAAACAAGTGTTGCGAACAAGTATTGCCAACGTTTATTGCGGAGATATCACAGAGGAAGCAGCTAAAGATGGATCGTTTTTTGCGATCATAATCTTGTATGCCTGAATTATTCAAATTTTGGCAGCATTTGTTAAAAGAAATAAACCTATTATCAATGTATATTGTTGTTGTTTGTGCTATTATCATATGCAAATGAATGCAAGTCGACCATTTCAGAATTGGAAATTTGGGACTTTCTAAATGCATAATGGGACTCATACTTTTCTGATCAGCGAGTCCCTGGGACTCACAGGGCTCAAACTGGAAAATTATCACCGTAAACGTCTTCACTTTCAAACGATAACCCGGAACACGGATTCAAGAGCCGGGAAGCGCCGCTGTGGGGCGAGCGATTATCATTTCGAGCAGACAAAGTTAAACATCCCCGAGCACGTCTGCGGTTGCGCAGCCGCAAAACATCCATTACTCACCGCACACAAAAGCGCTGGATGGTGCCAGAAAGAGCGCGGTACCCTTCAGACTCTCGGGGTGGGCGCACGTGGCGTTCACGCCGCTCCGTATCCCGCGGCTCGCCAGCCACTCCGGCAGCCAGCGGAGCTGGCAGTCGCACAAGAAGCTGCGGCTCTGGATGAGGCTGCGGCGGAGAGGCAAGCGGACGCATTATTCGCTTGCGCGAGTCAAACCTTCGGCGGCCGACGCGACGTGCAAAGCGCTCACAGCGTTTTGAGGTTCTTCATCTTGCCGAAGGCGTCGGACTGGATGGAGCGGATGGCGTTCTCGCCCAAGTTCCTGCGGAGGCAGCGCAGCGGCAAGTCAAAGGGCGTCCCTCGGACAAGTCGTCGCAGACGCGGTCGTGGATGCCGCCGAATGCGGGCGGCTATGCCTGAAGGTGGTCGTGAAAACGGCGATGGCGTCCAAACTTTTTCGCTTGAGGGCCGCGTACAGAAAAATGGAAGGACCAAAGGGCCGCTTTCAAATTCGTCCGCACGCAATTCAATCAGGAAAGCAGTTGCGGATGGTCGACTTTGTGTCATCCGTTTCTGTTCAAGGTGTTCAGGCGAATAGACGCCGGTGACGTTTTCCAGGGGTGGATCGGGCTCCGCACTGAACAGCAGCCGAAGCCCATCTCCACATTCAGAACCCCAAAAAGAAGAAAGTGAGGCAAGGCGACCATATTTTCAAACAGCTTTTTGAGGATCATTGACGTGATGTCTTCAGAAAGCAGCACAAAGTGGAGGAAACTATTTTGGCCTCGAAAAATGGAATGTGCTGGACTCACGACTGTGTTTTGAAGATTTATTGTGTGATCCTTTTCATCAGAAATGGTTTATGTGCATCTTTGAAAATCGAGAAAAGATTGACGGGATAGAAACAAATGTATTAGTCATAACGGCACCCTCCCTTCTCACTCTGCCCACCCTCCCCCTTTGAACTAACCGTGCTGCCCATCTCAAATGTCATTTCATTGTTTTGTTTTGGGGGGAGGGGGGGGGTCGTGTCACAATCGGGATGCCGGGCCACAAATGGCTCCCGGGCCGTCATGCGGACACGGCTGGCTTATGGCGTAGAGCGCGCCACATGTTCTACAGCGGCGGTCCCGCTCAGCGGCAGGAAACCGAAGGTCAGAGTGGAAGTTGTGGTCGGCTACCGAGAAACTCGCAAGGGCTTCTCCCTCTTCGAGGCGGTCGTCGAACCAAAGGCCCGGAGGCCACGTCCGGTCGGCCAACTCGTTCGCTGCGGCCCGCGAAAGCGGAGGCTGTGCATCCGCTTCCCGTTTCTTGCTGAAATCTGCAGCAACTTTGCGAAATGTCTGAAGGCGCGGAGACACGGTGTACACGTTTTGTTCGCGAAGCCCGTTCGGCGGAATGTGGAATACTCACAGGTGTTCCAAGGTCTCGAGGCCAGCGAAGGCTTTCTTTGCCACGGACTTGATCTTGTTTCCAAAGAGACTTCTGCCATTTCCAAACACCAAGGGTGTCGAAAGATGATGGGTGCGGGGATGCGGAAAGAGTGCAGCGCAATTAGCAGGGTCAAGTACGACAAGTCAAATCGTGGAAGTTTGAACTGTCTAGAGCACAGGTGTCAAACGCGAGGCCCGGGGGCCAGATCCGGCCCGCCACATCATTTAAAGTGGCCCGCCAAAGTGGATGACGTGTCGGCTTCCAGCGGAATTTCTAAAATCTCTACCGAAATGTCAAATTGTCGTGTGTCATAAATAACATAGGAGATTTTGCAAGAATTTCCTGACCCTGTTGACACTCACTTGAACAATAAGTCAACAAACTACTAATCCATCCATTTGTTGTGTACAAGTAACGATACTACGTGCAGTATTTCCTCTCGAAAACAGGGAAAGCCCGATTTAAAAACCGCGAAAGTGGATGTCGTGTGTCGGCTTCCACCGGCCTTTCTAAAATCTCTGCAGGAGACTTCTCGACTCATTTCTTAACATTGTGTCAGCATTTCCTCTCGAAAACAGGGAAAGCCCGATTTAAAAGGTGAACGTAGCTGAGCGAGTGCTACTTCAAACTCGACACTTCGAAATATGCCGTGAGCGACTTTCTGGGGTGCACCAGGGCAAGGGGGGACTGAATAGGAAAGAAAAAAAAAAAAGGGATGAGAATGAGGGGGACACTCACAGCTTGCTGAGGCTATCCAACCCAGAGAAGGCCCCGTTGGTATCCTCGATTGTGCCCGAGATGTCGTTGTGGTCCAGCTCCCTGCAGGGAATAGAGAAACGAGGGTTGGGGTCAAAACATTGCAGGGAGGGAGGAGAGCAAGTTCACAGTCCGCCGGCACTCCGGCCTTTCAGAGCACTGGCGAAACTGGCCTTGAAGTCATGGGTTGCCCCCCCTCACAACTGGCCCTCTGGGAGCCCCTCCGCTGCTGTACTCTGCCAACCAAATGCATTTTTCCTTCGCGAGGCAGAGGGCCAGAAAATTGGGCCGGTTTGTCTGACAGCGGCAGCTACGGGGGGGCCAAAAGTCACGTTGGGGTTTTTTGACCAAGCCCATGCTGCCGATGGCTGGGCAGAGATAGAATCCATTTGGGGACATCATGGCGTCTTTTGGGGAGTCGGTCAACACTTGTGGAAAGTCCTTCAGCGGTTTTCTTTCTCAACACAGTCGTGGTTAACCGTCGCGGAAGGGAACAAACGCTTTTACGCAAAAGCATCTTTCAAACTTGGGACGAGACCTTTTGAAGTTGCCGGCCAGCGGCACCGCGTCTTCGCAACAACATCATATTGCCCCTTCCCCCGCTTTTCATCCCCCCCCACTGGCCGTCAAACCGGAGCTGCCAATTTCCTCCTCTTTCCGGCTGGCTGGATGCGAATGGTTGTCGGCTTGTTAAAGCAAGGCCAGTGGTGTGGGCTCAAGAACAAGAGACCCGCGGCAGGAGGGGGGTGGGCCGCGCGGCGGGCCAACAAGCCCCCCCCGTGGCCGAGTAAGGGGACGCGCAGGCTTGTTTGGAGCTTTCACAGCCCGCCGCCGGCTCCACCGTGCCATGCCAGCTCAGCCGGCAAAGCGGGCCCAATTAAAGCTGACCCGGCTAACTTTCGGGCCCGGTCTCTGGCCCTTCTCCCCTCCGCTGATTAGATTAGCTCTGCCTCAAAGGCGCGACGGTGCCGGGTTGAACGGGGAGGACGGGACAACAGATCAAGTGTGGGCATGAAAGCAACAAGGAGAAATGCCGCTGGGCAGACGCAGACGGTGCGGGCACAACGATAATTGGCTCGAGCCCCCAGATTGCAGTCAGTCGGCAGGGTTCTGTGTGCTTTTTTAAATGTTTTTTTTTTAAATGCTTTACAAAAGAAGGATTCGAGGAGGAAAACCAACTTGCTCCATCGATTCCAAAGGCAAGGAGACGTTAGTGACTTTAGGACCAAAACCAAAGCAGACAAAAGAAACAAAGCCAGAAAGACGAGAAAGTTGCCACGGAAACCATGACGATAGTCAGCCCGGAATTACCTTGTCCAAACAAACAAAGGCTCTAATGCAAACGTGATCAAACTTTGAAGCCGCAGACAAGTCAGACCTTCTCATGTTGGTTCAAAATAGCGCATCGGAGACACAAATATGAAAACATCTCAGCTTTCACTGCTCCCAGCCTCATTATCATCTGCGAGGGCACGGCAGCTATGCGGGGGTTGTCGCGAGCGATTCCGCCTCGTTGATGGGGGCATGCGGACTTACAGGATGCGTACGGCCCTGAGGCCTCTGAAGGCTCCCTCGGCGATGTGGCTTATTGAGTTGTGCCCCAGACGCAGAGTGTGGAGATCCCCCAGCACGGCCAGACTGCCTTCATCCAGACGAGTCAGGTTGTTATACGACAGATTCCTGGTGGGGGAGGGAGGGAGTGAAACACACAGTACGTAGGGACAGACGAGTTGCAGATGGGGG